GGTGTTATGTCATGTTTATGACAGTGTCATGTCAGTCTTATTCAACCCCCTTCATATAAAGTGTTACCAGCACATGTATTCCATTTTTATATTTTTAGAAGTTTTATCCATATTTTAAAGCACTGTTTATGAGAAAGGTGCTATTAAATAAAGCTGACTTAATCCATGTAATTTTGCACAACAAAAACTCAAGGTGAGCGACAGCTGCCATATTCACGGGTACTTTTTTTTTGCACATAAAATATTCAGTTTTATCGAGGACAGAAAATCACGAATGGCATGATTTGAACTATTTTGTTTTCTGCTACATTTATTTCTCCTGTTAAAAAAATTAGTCACTGCTGTATGTCACCAACAAATATTGGGGATTTACTGTAAGCCATGTGAACAAATAAAACATATTTACAAAAACGTGTTTGTGTCATTAATTATAATGATCAGAAAAAAGCTTCTGTGTAACACTTCTAAGTCTGTATTTTTGTGTTTTTATGATGTAAAGCACTTTGAACTGCGTGGTTGGTGACGTGTTATACAAACAAATTTGATTGATTGATTAAAATGAACTTTAGTTGTTTTCTGGCTAATATCTTAGTATGCAAAGCTCTCAATTTAATGGTCTGTCTACATACCAATCTTCTTATATAGTCACAAGAAAATAAATTATTATGGAAAGAGCAAATTGCTGGAAACAATAGAAGCTGAAAAGAGCTTCTTCACGAGGGTGGCAGGACAACATCTGATCGATAGGTTAAAGAGCTCTGTCATCAAGGGGAAGCTCAAAATAGACCCAGTGCTTCTCCAAATGGAAGGAGCCAGTTCAGGTGATTTTACCTTTGGAAGTTTTCTGGGCATGTCCCACTGCGAGGAGATCCATGGGGAAGATCCAGGACTCATTGTACAACCAATCTGGCCTGTGAATGCCTTAGAATGTCGCCAGAAAGAGGGATGTATGAGGTTCCCCATCTTGCAGAAGGAAAAGCCGATGGATGGCCTGGTAGAGAATTTCCAGCTGAGGAAGCCATAGTTTGTCACAAGATGGTTTCTGCAAGTCCCTGCATCCCATGTTGAACTTTCCTTAAATGGTCATGAAAACAGCGCCGCACTTTTCTGCAGACAGCCTCATCTGCCAACAACAAAGTTGCAATTTAAATCCAGGAGTTATTAACCCTTTTAGTCGTATTCGTATTATAGCAGTTATTTAGTGAAGAAACGTACAAATGTACATAATCTTCACCTTGTCAGACAAACGTTCCTCAAGGTGAAGGAATAACTAACAAAAAATGACTTACCTGCACAAACAAAAGCCCTAATAATAGATTGGCAACGAATAATAATTATTAATGCAAATGCCTATAAATGATATAAACCAAATGCCTATTTGGTTACTAATCAGGGGTAACATTTCTGTATTAACACATAAATCCCATTAAACATAAAAGGCAAATTGAAAGAAAGTTCTTTTTGAAAGAGGATGAGGAAAACATGTTTATTTTTATTATTTATTTATTTCAAACGGTTTTTGAAAACAAGAAAAATAGCAACAGTAGGACAAAGGGGAATAAATCCATTTTAAACAAACAAGTTTTGCTCATTTTGTGGAAATAAAGTTTCAGAGGAACCTTGAGAACATCCTACTGGTTGATCTGAGCGACGAGCCCCTCCAGCTCTGGACGCGCCTTAAAGCGTGCTTGATAATCCGCCTCTGTCTGCTGCAGTGGAAAGACAGGGGTTAAAAGTAGAATATTACTGGTACAGTTAGATGGTGATTATTTTTTTACTGCATTTTAACCAGTTTGTTTCATTAACTTGTAGTAACGGCAGACAGAAAACGTGTGATTTGTTTTCGCTTTGTGTTTAAATCTAGCACAAGTGAACTAGATTTAAACACAGCAGGTAACTGAAGAGAAAATCTTCAAAATTCACTAAGAAAACTGCAGTAAACATTTTAAAGGTCACTAAATCATTATAGTAGTAGTAAACGCTTCCTTCATACCATGTGCCAAAGCATAGGGAGCAAAGTGTGCTTTGGACTTACTATATTAAGATTTTTTTATTTCATCTTCAGGGATGACTGAAGTTACAAACATAATATATTAGACTGCTGTTCAGTCAAACTATTAAAGCAATAAAATGTGGATTAGTGCAGCGATTTTGGAAATTAAGTCATTCTTTTCCTTTTACCTTATGAGAAAGCAGGAGAAATGAACAAACTTTGCTGTGAATGATTAGGTGGTGAACTATGAAAAATGAATCAATTCATTAGGAGTAGTTCTTATTAAAACTGCAGTATGCAACTTTTACAGAAAAACTGTCACTATGTTGTGACAGAATGGTCTGAAACTACATAAATCTACAGAAATAAAACCAGTCAGAATCAACTAATCAGAGCCAGGGGGAGGGTCTAAGCGCTATCAATCATCGTTGGTTGGACTTAAACGGGGCTGTATGGATCTTGTCAGAGGTTTATCTGTACTCATTGTTGCACATAAGTGGTCTTGATTTTGGGCTTTTAATTATTCGGTGTGTTTATTTTTAGGAAAAACAGTTTGATTTACTTATGAAGTACTATGTCACAATAAATGCCATGAAAATGCACTTTACAAAAGTCCAAAACTATAAGACAACAAATGAATCCCAATCACACCAACACGCTGTAATATCCAGGATCAGATGTGACTCACCTCCTGCACCGAGAGCTGAACTCCTTCTGGTTGGTTCTTCAGAATAACGTCCATGAAGACGGGACACAGCGAGGCATTCAAACTACTCAACTAAACACAGAAACAACACGCTCCGTCAGCTTCCACAACGTTCTCCAGAATCTAATCAAACCCGAAGCTTAGGGGACTTTTAGAAAGACCTGGACGACGCGCCGGTGGGTCTTCAGGACGGCGTCCACGTACGTTTTGTTGCCTTGTTCTTGCATTAGCAACACTTCTGTGCTCTTGGTTGGCAAAGCATAGCTGTGAGTCGAGGACATAAGAAAAATATTACTGCTTTTGTTTACATTTGATTCACTATTTAAAATATACACAGCAACTTAACAGTTTAATTCATAAGGCAATCAATTCTATATCTGTGCTCCAGATTCAGCCAATTTATTTGGTTTAGACATAAACTTTAGATGGACATCTGTTTACCACTGCTTTAGCAATATTTACCTCTCTGTAAATTACCTCATTTGGGACTTAAATTGCAGAGTTATCCACTTAATGTCAGTTTTTTGCAGAAATTCACGCTAAATCAACAGATCCATGCATTTTTTTCATGCTAATAAATAATTGTGAGTTGATTGCAAATTTAACGAGCCCTTCAGGGGACATGGGAATTTTTTTTTTCTTTTGCATTCCTTCGCAATAATGTACTGATCAGT